AAAATAAAGGTCCATCAACAACTTTAAAAAAAAAAAAAAGGAACTGCCTTCAGGATCATTAAAAAAAAAAAATGATACTCAACAGGCAAAAGTTTTATTCTGCTCAGCGGCAAAACACCTCCCTAGCATGTGCAGGGCCCTGGGTTCAATCCCCAGCACCAAAAACAAGCAAACAAGAAAAACAGAGCACACAGCATTTTAACAGCATAAGCTAACGCCAACCGCCATTCCAACACCAGTAAGTGGATGCGGCAGGGTGTGGTGAGCGTTTCCATGTGTGCAGTACATGTTAATACAGGGTTATGTATACAAACCACTCCAAATGTGCTCTTCAGGCAATCTCAAATCACTGGGGCATTTGCCCTGGTGATGAGTTAGAACCTTGCCCTCAGGCTAGAAGTGACCCCACTGCAGGTTTCTTTACAACGCTGAACCTAGTACCACATCTATCAGAAAATGCAGCTTCCTTTCCAGAAACATCCTCTTACTTTTTAGGCGGGTTAACAGAAACGCCTACATCCTCAGTGCAGACAAGGGTGTCTGTGTATAAGGGAGCAAGACCCTAAGCAGAGGTCACACTCAAAGCCCTGGACAGGCATCCCAGCCATGCCACTCTGTTCCTCTGCCCCTCAATGCTTCTTCACTCAACCACACAGAGGACTCAGGTTCCTCCAATGTTCCCACCTTTACATATTTGCAGGTGCTGTTCCTTCCACTCGGAAGGCTCTTCTTTCCACTTTCCATCTGTCAACTCCTACTCATCTTTCCTAGACAGAAAAAGCCACCTGGCCAGTCTCACCAGTCTCTCCCACTCTGTGGCCTCCTGCAGCAGTGCCCTGAGTTACCTCATCACAAGACAGTAATTGTGACTGTCCAGTGGTGCCTTTGTCTCCCCAGGGGGCAGCTCCCCCACTCTGGGCCCAGCCCCAAGTTCCCAAGCCTGGCCTCAGCAGGCCTCGCAGCACAGAAGCAGGCCAGATCTCCCCAGCCTTCTGCCCCAGGCAGCCAGACACCAGGACAGGAGCCTCGCTCAGGTGAAGGGAAGCCACTATTCTGGGAGTCAGGAGGCCAAGGAATCCAAGAAGGCTGGCAAGAGGAAAGGGCAGGTGTGTGAGAAGAAAGGAGGATCTGAGGAGGAAAAGAAGTAGCACCCAAGGGGAGTAAGACTGAGGGGATGGACAGTGGCAGAGGAGCCCAAGGAGGCTGAACTCAGGGGGTGAGGAGGTAAAGAAAGTCCCAGCAGAAGGGACCCTGATGTTGGCTGGGGGAAGAGGGTGGGCCAGGGCCCAGGCAAGAACCTTAAGATCATAGGGGCTCCCAAAGGAAAAAAGTAAGGGGATGGGAGTGGGCAGGGGACATGAGACTAAGGAACTTGGGACACTGAGAGGAGACGGGCTGGTTAGGGGTGCGAGGCAATTCAGGGGAAGAGACAGAGACTTGGGGAGAGGCAGGTGTGCAGAAAGTCAGAGACAGACACACACTGGCTGAGGAAAGAGAGACTCAGGAGTGAAGGGGAAGGGACAGAAACTGGGGGACAGAGAGGAAGACAGAGATTCAGAAGCGAAGGGAAGGGACAGAGACTGGGGAACAGAGGGGAAGACAAGAGACTCAGGAGTGAAGCGGAAGGGACAGAGACTGGGCGACAGGGGAAGACAGAGACTCAGGAGTGAAGGGGAAGGGACAGAGACTGGGGGACTGGGGAAGACAGAGACTTAGGAGTGAAGGGGAAGGGACAGAGACTCAGGGGACAAGGAGGAGACAGAGCGCGAGCGTGCGCGCGTGTGTACCAGGGCAAGGACCGGGAAGGGACTGAGCCTAGGGCAGAGAGGAGGCAACGGGAAGGACTCAGACTCACGCCAAGGGAAGGGAGAGAAAGGGACGTGAATGGACAAGAAGCGACCGGGACTCGGGCTGAGGGAAGGGACGGGAAGGAACCGAGACTCAGGCACAGAGGAAGGGGCGG